GGTGAGATCATGACAGACCACGGATTTGACAACGGCACACAAAAGGTGAGATCATGACAGACCATGGATTTGACAACGGCACACAAAAGGTGAGATCATGACAGACCACGGATTTGACAACGGCACACAAAAGGTGAGATCATGACAGACCATGGATTTGACAACGGCACACAAAAGGTGAGATCATGGCAGACCATGGATTTGACAACGGCAGATCACAGACGAGATCATGGCAGACCATGGATTTGACAACGGCACACAAAGGGTGAGATCATGGCAGACCATGGATTTGACAACGGCACACAAAAAGTGAGATCATGACAGACCACGAATTTCACAACAGCACACCCAATGTGAGATCATGACAGACCATGGATTTGACAACGGCAGATCACAGGTGAGATCATGACAGACCATGGATTTGACAACGACACACTCAAGGTGAGATCGTGACAGACCATGGATTTGACAACGGCAGATCACAGGTGAGATCATGACAGACCATGGATTTGACAACGGCAGATCACATGTGAGATCATGGCAGACCATGGATTTGACAACGGCACACAAAAGGTGAGATCATGACAGACCATGGATTTGACAACGGCACACCCAAGGTGAGATAATGGCAGACCATGGATTTAAAAACAGGACAGTACAGCATACGAATCAATTAGAACGAATCTGACTTATCTTACTCACAGTTTAGCTGGTCCTGACATGGCCAAGGAATGTTACCTTGCAAGGCGAAATGCGGCACCATAAAATACTATTTAAAACGGTATGTGTCCATGAATTCCAAGTCAGATAAGATTCCAAACACCCAATGTTTGTCGTAAGACACGGCGGTAGTTGAGAGCGGGTGGTTATACACTGTAATGTGGTACTGCTGCACGGGCTGGATCGTTTTCAACCACTCGTTTGGGGCGGAAGGGTAGTCCAGTGGTTGAAGTGATCGCTCGTCACGCCGAAGACCCTGGTTCGATGCCCTAAATGGGTACAATGTATGAAGCCCATTTTGGTGTCAACCGCCGTGATAGCGCTGGAATATTGCTAAATGCGACGTAAAACCATACTCACTCCCCGCAACACACAAATTATTTAACTACAAATCTGACAGCAGGATTTAAGACTATACTCTCACTCTCCTTGAAACAAACTTGGTGCTAAGAAACGACAGTGTTGTTCAATGTACATGACAACATATGATTCTATCCAGCTGTTCCAATATCTGGGCGGTGGGGTAGCCTAGAGGTTAAAGTGTTCGACCCCCTACATGGGTACAGTGTGAAGCCCATTGATGTGTGCCCCGCCGTGATATTGCTGGATTGTTCCTAAAAGCGGCGTAAAACAAAACTCACTCCAATATAATCCATGTTGACAATTAATTGATCCTCGATTTTTTAAATTTACATACGTTTTCAAAAAACGTAACTTGCCTCCTGTTTTCAGTACTATAAACGTCTGACCAGTCTGCACATATTTGTCTGAAGATACGTTGAAACTGGAATATATGGATGGTTTGTACATCAGCTATATATGGTGAATATTTCGGATTGCAAACTGATTTGCCTTTCGTAAATACAACATTAACACATGTATTGTTATTCTCCTATTTTATGACCAACAAGGCAGTTACATCATAAACACCCCGTACCCACAACCTGTTTATCAAAATATTGGGAAATTTGAATTTTTGGACAGAATAAAGCATCTGCTTTGTTTTATATTGCTCTTGGTCACATTCTGTAGGAGAGTCTGTAAGTGCGTCGACCTATCTGAAACCTGGGACCTTATATTGCGGGACATTAACGTGTTTGTGTCAAATGTCCTTCCGTTGTAACCTTTAGTGTGAGTTCCCGATGGTCACTCCCTAATCCAGGGTTGTCTTGCAGGAGAACTGTGTGCTTCCTTCAGGTCTCTCCAGCATGATGCAGTCTTCGTGTATTGTGACGCAGGCAGCCGTTGAACTCGGGCTGGAATCAGAAAGTGGCATCGAGGTTAACATTGTTCAAGGTATGTGATTGGACCAGGGTCTGGTTTTCTAAAGGAGGTGGGTTTTTAAATGGAGAGTGTTTTTAAGATTATGCACCTAAATATTTGTTCTCAATACGTCTTGCATCATTGCATTTTATGGGGGTTGGTTGGAGGTGGGGGAAGGGGGTAGACTTGTCTTTCAGCAGTCTGAAGCAATATTTCTTCATTTATCTGTAAATGACCCCTCGTCTGGTCCGTTGACTGTATAAGGTCGTAAATACCAGCCTTTTGATGTCGATTAGGTAGACAATGACGTGCAATTGGGGATGTCAGCAAGATCTATGGTGTCCACCATGATTGAAATGCATCACTTTGGAGATTATATTTAACTCACGACCACGGGCACATTTATAAACTAACGTACAAGCGATTATTTAACTTACGAACTCTGGGATATAAACTCACGAACACTAAGATATAAACTCACGAACTCGAGGATATAAACTCACGTACACAGAGATGTAAACTCACGTACACGGGGATATAAACTCACGAACGCTGAGATATAAACTCACGAACTCGAGGATATAAACTCACGTACACGGAGATATAAACTCACGTACACGGGGATATAAACTCACGTACATGGGGATATAAACTGACGTACACGGGGATATAAACTCACGTACGCGGGATATAAACTCACGAACACTGAGATATAAACTCACGAACTCACGAACTCACGATATAAACACGTACACGGGATATAAACTCACGTACTCACGATATAAACTCACGTACACACACGTACACTGGGAGGATATAAACTCACGTACACGGAGATATAAACTCACGTACTCGAGGATATAAACTCACGTACGCGGGGATATAAACTCACGTATACGGGGATATAAAGTCACGAACACTGAGATATAAACTCACGAACTCGAGGATATAAACTCACGTACACGGAGATATAAACTCACGAACTCGAGGATATAAACTCACGTACGTGGGGATATAAACTCACGCATTACGTGGGGATATAAACTCACGTATACGGGGATTTAAAGTCACGAACACTGAGATATAAACTCACGATATAAACTGCATACACGGGGATATAAAACTCACGTACGCGCGGATATGAACTCACGAACGAACACTGGGATATAAACTCACGTGCTTGGGGATATAAACTCACGAACTCGGGGATATAAACTCACGTGCTTGGGGACTACTCACGAGATATAAACTCACGTGCATAGGGATATAAACTCACGTACGGGATGAATACGAACTCACGTGCACGCGCGGGATATAAACTCACTCAGAACTCGGGGATATAAATATAACTGGGGATATAAATTCACGTGCATGGGGATATAAACTCACGTACTCGGGGATATAAACTCACGTACACGGGGATATAAACTCACGTGCATGGGAATATAAATTCACGAACACTGAGACATAAACTGACAAGAACGAAGATATAAACTCACGAGAACGGGATATAAATTTACAAACACAAGAAAGGCTATACTGTGACAATAAATCTTAGCTACTGATTTGAAGATTGTCATTGTCATGTGATGGTGATATTTGTTGTCGCTTTGTAGTAAGAATAGATACTATATATTGACTCTTAGTTGTAAGGATGTATACTATTTGCAGTCGATTAGATCATTGTCGACTCGTTCCATGTGACTCTTTTTCAGTGACGCAATGTCAAACCACCACTGCTGGTTGGATTGACTTGATGCTGAGAACGATTACCCTATTAAAAGAATTACGACGCATATTTTAGCACGATGTAAAGACTAACAAAATCTTTATCGAGTGAGTGAGTATAGTTTTACGCCGCTTTCAGCATCATTCCAGTGAGGGTCAGCGGACAAAAGACTTCACACATAAAAAATTTTGGAAATCGTCATCGTGACTTGGGGACGCTTTAACCACAGGGACCCCACCCAATCTTCATCGATTTAAGGATATATGTATGCATGGTTTAGTCACGTGACGATTCAATACGATTAGTCATGCGCACCTGGGACAGGCCGCGATGCCCTTCAGACTACACATGAAGTACAAGTCGCAGTCGTTGACGTAAGCTCCCTTCCCCAGTGTCTGTCTTGTCGTGCGGCAGATGTGAACTGAAAGTAAACACCAAGAGCAGGATTGATAGAGATTATAGAACGAGCGTCACTTAAAATTTGTTTGTTTGTTGTTTAACGCCACACTCAACAATATTCCAGCTATATGGCGGCGGTCTGTAAATAATCGAGTCTGGACCAGACAAGCCAGTGATCAACAGCATGAGCATCGATCTACGCAATTGGGATGCGATGACATGTGTCAGTCAAGTCAGCGAGCCTGACCACCCGATCCTGTTTGTCGCCTCTTACGACTAGCATGGGTTACTGAAGATCAATTCTAACCCGGATCTTCACGGATACCGTGATAAAGAATAAAATGATTTTATCCATAAAACGTGTCATGCATTCATGTTCGTCCAAGTTCTAAATGCTTTTCATGCAAATCGTATCCTTGGAAGACAATAGGATACGATGACATGTGTCAACCAAGTCAGCGAGTCTGACCACCTTGTACCGTTAGTCGTGGTATGTGGTATGAGATGAAATGCCACAATGGTGGGTATAATATGGAAGATGGTTCGTTAAGTGTTTTCCGAAGGAATTTGATTAAGTTTTCTAATTTGTCAGATGTATAGACAGTTATTGAATCTCAAACACATGTTTTTTCTAAGCCCAGTGAATTTGATTTCATTTCGACAAATTCATTTCTTAGTAGATTTTTCCAGAAAGGACAGGTTTGAGTTATTTGCAGTTAAAATATACGCTGATTAGACAGATGCAGTGTTGAATGTATCGGCTGTGTTGTAAACATTGTACCTCCTCTGACAACTTTAAGGTTTTTCAGTGTGCACTCATCACAGACAGCGTAGGCCACCAGTAGCAGGATTCCACAGACAAGCTTCATCGTTGTAGCTGAAATGAAGCATGAGTGAGTTGAGTCGGTCACGTGCAAGGGCAGCTGAGATGTCAGAGTGAGTGAGTAAGTTTAGTTTTATGCCGTTTTTACATCACGGCGGGGGACACCGGAAATGGGCCTCACGTATTGTACCCATGTAGGGAATCGAACCCGGGTTTTCGGTGTGACGAGCGAACGCCTTAACCATTAGGCTACCCCACCGACCCAGACATAACAGGAATATACATATAATTAAATGAATGGATCACTAAGGGTGTCCGGTGAAAAGGTACACTTGTTACGATCTACCGTTGAATAATTAGAAAACAGTTTCATATCCTTCGAGAAAATCACGATAGCAAAGTTGTTTTTGAAATTAGTATATTGATAATTTGACTATTGGTTTGATTTCAGAAGAAACTACTTGTAAATCCTCTTGGGAACTTTTGGGCTTCATGGGTTATGTGAAATGATGAATATGATAGGTCCCTTTACAACGGAATGATTTTATATTATAGATGTTGGCGGGCACGAGCGATTGTTACATTTTGGTGACAATTAATCATTTAGATAACGACAATATCAAACAGGACATCTGCTACACAGGCTCATAAAACAGAATTTGATGTGTTAAGTTATGGCTATATTTTATCAAAGAGAAAATGGATCGTACATCGTACACGTAAACACCACAAACGTACATCGTACACACCACACACCTACATCGTACACAGCACACACCTACCCCGTACACACCACACACATACATCGTACACATCACACATATACATCGTACACACGACACACATACATCATACACACCACACACCTACATCGTACACACCACACACCTACATCGTACACACCACACACCTACATCGTACACACCACACACCTACATCGTACACACCACACACCTACATCGTACACACCACACACCTACATCGTACTACACACCACACCACACACCTACATCGTACACACACCACACACACACCTACATCGTACACACACACACACCTACATCGTACACACCACACACCTACATCGTACACACCACACACCTACATCGTACACACCACACACCTACATCGTACACACCACACACCTACATCGTACACACCACACACCTACATCGTACACACCACACACCTACATCGTACACACCACACACCTACATCGTACACACCACACACCTACATCGTATCAAGCTACACACCACACACCTACATCGTACACACACACACACACCTACATCGTACACACCACATACCATACATCGTAATACACACCTACATCGTACACACACACACACCTACATCAATATTACACACCACACACCTACATCGTACACACCACACCTACATCATACACACCACACACATACACACCATCGTACACCACACACCTACATCGTAATACACACCACACACCTACATCGTAACAATTCAACCTACATCGTACAAATACATCGTACATCGTGTACACACGTACATCGTACTACCACCACACACCAAAATACATCGTAATACACCACACACCTACATCGTAATAACACCCACACACCTACATCACTAACACATCGTAATTACATAATACACACCACACACCTACATCGTACACACCCACACACCTACATCGTACACACCATTCAATACTAATTCTACATCGCACACACCACATCATACACACCACACACATCGTACACAATACACACACACCTACATCGTACACACCACACACCTACATCGTAATACATAATTACACACCACACACCTACATCAAAATAATACACACCATCAAAATACATCGTACACACCACACACCTACACACATCATACACCACACACCTACATCGTACGTAACACCTACACGTACTACACACTACATCGTACACACCACACACCTACATCGTACACACCACACATACATCGTACACACCACACACATACATACATACACCTACATCACACCTACATCCTACATCATATACACACCACACACTACACGTACACACCACACACCTACATCGTACACACCACCACACCTACATCGTACACCACACGTACACACATACATCGTACACACCACACACCTACATCACCACACAATACATCGTACACACACAACCTACATCGTACACACCACTACTACATACATCACGCACCATAACACCTACATCGTACACACCACACACCTACATCGTACACAATTAATTTACATCACACACACATAATTTACATTGTACATAACACACTCTATACTGTAAGCATAATCTACAATTTATCACACACCCACATTAATTTTATCACACACACTTTATCACATTAATTCACACTCTATCACACATCACCCACATTTAATTTGTATCACACACTCCTACATTAATTTATATCACACATCTACATAATTTAATAAGCCGTATAATCTACACACTTATCACACACTACATTATTCAAGATTGTATTACACCACTTCCACCTATCACACACACCATACTACATATATCACACATCTACACTGAGACCATACTCCACACTTATCACACATCTACACACTTCACACACTCCACACGAGATCCCGAGACCACACACCAGACCACACGAGACGAGATTCCACGACCAGAGACCGAGACGAGACACGAGACAGAGACGAGGAGAGACGAGACAGAGACGACAGACAGAGAGAGACGAGACAGAGACGAGACAGAGACGAGAGACAGAGACGAGACAGAGAGACAGAGACGAGAGACGAGACAGAGACGAGACACGAGAGAGACGAGAGACAGAGAGAGAGACGAGAGACAGAGACACGAGAAAGAGAGACAGATGAGAGACGAGACAGAGACGAGACAGAGACACGAGAGACAGACAGAGACGACAGACAGAGACGAGGAGACGAGACAGACAGAGACGACAGACGAGACAAGGACAGACGAGACGAGAGACACGAGCCGAGGACCAGACAGTGAGAGAGACAGATGAGAGAGACAGGACGAGACAGAGACAGGAGAGAGGAGGAGACAGACGGAGAGAGAGACAGCCGAGAGAGGAGAGGACTGAGACGAGATGAGAGACGAGACAGCCGAGCCGACATGAGACAGGAAAGACGAGAGAGGAGGACGGATGAGACAGAGAGAGAATGCGGAGAGACAGGAGAGAGCCTTGAGTGGAAGGAGAGGACAGGATGAGAGACGGAGTGAGAGAGACTTGACGGATGGAGAAAGGTGGAGTGGACGTGGATGAGACAGGAGCTTGAGGAAGGAGACAGGATGGAGATAGGAAATGGAGTTTAATCTCCTTCTGCTCTCACACACAGTCTCCTCTCTATTTCTCTCTCTCTCAATCTCTTCACCTCACACAGTCTCTGTTCTCTCTATTTCTCTCTCTCTCCTCAATCTCCTTCTGGCTCTCACACACAGTCCTCTCTATATTTCTCTCTCTCTCTCAATCTCTTCACTCTCACACACAGTCTCTCTATTTCTCTCTCTCTTAATCTCCTTCGCTCTCACACACAGTCTCTCTCTATTTCTCTCTCTCTTCAATCTCTTCACTCTCACACACAGTTCTCTATTTCTCTCTCTCTCAATCTCTTCACTCTCACACACAGTCTCTATTTCTCTCTCTCTTAATCTCCTTCGCTCTCACACACAGTCTCTCTCTATTCTCTCTCTGTCTCAATCTCTTCACTCTCACACACAGTCTCTATTTCTCTCTCTCTTAATCTCCTTCGCTCTCACACACAGTCTCTCTATTTCTCTCTCTCTCAATCTCTTCACTCTCACACAGTCTCTATTCTCTCTCTCTCACTTAATCTCTCTCTTTGCTCCTTTGCTCTCACACACAGTCTCTCTCTCTATTTCTCTCTCTCTCTCTCTCAATCTCTTCACTCTCACATACAGTCTCTCTTTTTCTCTGTCTCACTCTCTCCTTCGCTCTCACACACAGTGTCTCACTTTCTTTCTTTCTCTTTACATCACAACAATTCTGTGTCTAACCACCATTTACGAGACACTCCAACAGATCACACCAAGACACGATATATCTTAACTACTGCGTATGTGATACAATACTCACTGGACGTGTGTACTCACTAGATCCTTCACCGGACTACAGCAGTCACAATATCTGAACCCTATATGTACTATTTAATGCCGATTTCCAATACACGCGGCACCATCTGGACGAAGCATGTTGAGTTGCTTAAGAACAGTGTTTGTTTTAGAGAGGCATTGAACCAAACTAAATAGATTATTGACATCCCTGTCCAAACCAATGTCTTATATTACCGCGCCTGTACAAATATACAGATTTATTGTTGAAATCGATGGTTATATTTACCACATCAGTCCCAACTAATTATTCACACCCCCATGTGTTACCCCACCCTGACACATGAAACGTCAACTGTCCGGCATAATTTGTGTATTTGCATTTACTTTCATGCCCTAGACGTTTTGCCTTCATAAGCAGAAACGGTTCATTATATTAATAAAAGAAATAGAGGGGTGTGATTGTTGTGCCCCGGCTGATTCCGGTATTGTCCTGGGTGAAACTATTTGCGTGACAAAGGTGAACTGCCTCTGCCGCCTGTCACATTTTTCAGTCAAAAATGTCAATACATATTAATGCCCAAGGGGGCGACATTGTAAATACAGACGTCATTTGGACACGTCAGTGAACGAAAACAAGCAACGAGCATTGAGCAAATATCGCTGTAGACTGACCACAATTCACGATTCCAGTTAAGTTGATCGAGGTCATTCAAGACGGACTGTTTCTGTTTAGGGGATAACTGTACTGTGTTTGACGAATTGGGGACGTATACCGGTGGTTATATAGCCGCAAATATAATGTTATATCGGCTCCGCTTACGCTAAATTTGCAGCTATATAATCACCGGTATACGTCCCCAATTCGTCAAACACAGTACATTTATCCCCATTCTAATTCAACTCTCCTTACGCTGTTTTTTCGTGAAAGAAATTCATTATTTAAACCAGATCAAAGTTCCTCTAGGTCAAAGGTTAATCATATCACTCCTTGAACTTACACCATCGCCAGAAAAAGTAGTTCACTTTTCAAACTTAAACACGTTTATTATGTGGACTCTGACTAAATCTGACAATGATGACTGACTGAGTTTAGTTTTACGCCGCTTTTAGCAATATGACAATGATGAATAAATCATAGTGTTAAAGCTAAAGGGACGGAATTATATCATGAAACCGCCCTCTGGTTATCAGAAATGAGCGATCCGCTGATTCCTCAACTACGGGCCATTATCAGTTCTGTTGTTAAATGACGTCACAGCAGGTGACGTCACGCTCCATAATGACGTCATAAATCTTGTTTCATGATCTAACAGTGTTGGGTCAACAGCCCGTTGCGAGTAAGTTGAATTTAAAATTAAATTTATGATACTGTTTTGTCTTTTTTAACACAAATTTCCCCCATTTTGGTTAATTGACCAATAGCTTCTGCAAATGACAATGTCCTGCAAAACAGCGTTACCCCAATGAGTAGGGACACATTCAAAGGTTTTGGTGAATCGGTTTTCAAATTGCGACCGAATATGCTGATTATACGATCGGAAATTTATGGCATTCACCAATCAGAACTCGTGTTACATACTAAGTTGAATTAGAATTTCTTTTGAACGTCAGTATATTTTCCTAAACAGATCTGCTGTTAAATGATGATACACAACCATCGTCTTTGTTTCACTCAAGGTAAATAGTGAGTGAGTGAGTATGGTTTTTCGCCGCTTTTAGCAATATCCCAGCAACATCACGACGGGGGACACCAGAAATGGACTCAAGGTAAATAGCGTGGATGAGTGAGTATGTTGAGGTTTTTTTATTTCTCTTCAGCAAAGTGACATCAATATAACCGCAGGGAACATCGCTTTATGCGTTAGGTCTTTGAATGGCATTTAGACGTGATACACATGAGGCAGAGAGTGTTTTTATGGATGTCAACTCCTTTATTATAAGGAACACAGCGTTTCTGAGTATATCCTTACTCCTGCACCTGAGTAAGGATGAAGGAGTAAGGATATACTCCGAAACGTTGTGTTCCTCATAATACAGATATTGACATCCATAAAAATCTCACTTCCTTTAGCATTGCGTGTTCTTCCAATGGGTGGACTCGTACTCGTGTACACGTACTTGAGTGTGACGACAACGTTTTAACAACCAGGATGCCGTTGTACAAAACAACCTTAGCACTAAGGCTACCTTAAGTTTATGCTAAGGTATGGGAGTTAAGGTCACCTTAGCGCTAAAGTCGCTTTGTGCAACGGCACCCAGGCCAATAGGTCAGTATATTTATCCCTGTAAGGGTAGTCTGTTTAATGGACTAGTGTAAATGGTTTACTCCCAAAAGTTAGACGTCCCAAAAGTCAGACATCCCAGGTGTCAGACAAATCAATCAGGCGTGACTGTGACTACAACCTAGTCTTACCCACTGGTATAATGAACCTGTCCCATACACCGACGAGATGGTTTTCACATTTGTACAGAAATACTTTGATCAGAATACTAATGTTGACTGGCTTACTCAATCACTGGGATCTCCAAATGTGTTTTCGCAATGTTCAATTTTATCATAACAAGATTATAGATTTTGCATACTTGTTTTCACAACCTTCCCTTTGATCAAAAACAGGATTATAGATTTTTTATGTTTTTGAGTTTTCATTAACCTAATGGAGTTACTTCCTTCCTAACATTGTTTTTCCAACATAAACAATATAAAATATAAAAAGACTGACTGAATTTAGTTTTACGCCGCTTTTAGCAATATTCCAGCAACATCACGGCTTGGGACACCCGAAAATGGGCTTCACACATTGTACCCATGTGGGGAATCGAACTCGGGTCTTCGGCGTGACGAGCGGACGCTGTAACCACTACGCTACCCCACCGCCCAAAATATAAAAAGAAGTTCAGGGTGTAGGGTTAACATTTAATTATAACTGGCAAGTATCCCAGATGCAGTTGAGCATTTGCTCAGACTTGGTTGACATTCCTACCTGTATAGAGAATGATGTGAAAGATGTGAAATGTTAAATCTTGAATGATTTCATTGACCATTTAAATTGTCTTGTTAAATTAACTTATTTTGTTTTTATGCCAAATAAAGTCATTACAAAGTCATCCATCGGTCATTTAAATTATCACATTGAATTAACTTATTTTGTTTTATGTCAAATAAAGTCATTGTCATTATTCATAATCTCTTCTCTTTGTGTTTGGATTAGTACATTTGGACTAGTCCATTAATTAACGAAGGTAACAGTGTAGTGAACCTCAGTGCAACCAACCATAACCTTTGTTGTTTTAACGCGTCTAACGTTTGGGACGCCTAACTTTTGGGAGGACACCGTGTAGATGTGTACAGGTAAGTATGACCCGATAGGTATGTATGACCCGACAGGTAAGTATGACCCGATAAGTATGTATGACCCGACAGGTATGTATGACCCGACACGCCTCGGTAATGATACACATCGATATCTTCTGTTGATACCACGCACGTGGCAGGGATTACAGATCGATAAATCTGCATTAAACATAAACCAGGGAGCCCCTTCGTTTGTTAAGAGTCAGTGTGATTACACTGTAAACACCCGGTCACCGGACCCTGGAGAGGCTAAGACAATTGTCCGAGACGATGGACCACTAGTGCCTTGCTGGGTGTCAATCCTGTGAGTGAGTGAGTGAGTTTGGTTTTACGCCGCTTTTAGCAATATTCCAGCAATATCACGGCGGAGGTCACCAGAAATGGGCTTCACACATTGTACCCATATGGGGAATCGAACCCGGGTCTTCGGCGTGACGAGCGAACGCCTTAACCACTAGGCTACCCCACCGCCCCGTCAATCCTGTGAGGAAGCATGTGATACATGTTCAATGTTCATAGTCGACGGAGGCGGTGGGGTAGCCCAGTGGTTAAAGCGTTCGGT